TAGGGTTAGGGTTAGGGTTAGATTTAGGGTTAGGGTTAGGGTTAGGGTTAGTTTTAGGGTTAGGGTTAGGGTTAGGGTTAGATTTAGGGTTAGGGTTAGGGTTAGGGTTAGGTTTAGGGTTAGGTTACAGCGCGCTTCTGTCGGCGCGCTGTTGTCGGCGCGCTGTTGTCGACGCGCTTTTGACATTGCGGTTTTAGTGCCGCGGTTTTGTCGGCGCGCTTATGACGTTCGCACTTTTGTCGGGTCACGGTTGGGCCTCCTGAAGCCTGGGGAGGACAGAAAACGGCCCAACGGACCTATCGGAAGTTCATTTCCGAACTTCCGATGCACCCTTTGGGCCCCGTTTTTAACCATCCAAGAAACATCCACTCCCGATTCTCTCTTTTGCAGTAAAATAAGGCATTGACATCAAATCGCAACTTTCCCCCCGCATAAGAATATGAACCAGCCATTTCTGTGCATCCTTTTTTTTTATCCCATGCCTAACAATGCAACCCTGAACACTTAATATTTGTGCTTGTGTGAAGGATGAAGCATTCCGCACGGCTCCGGATCGTATATTCAAGATAGTTCTGGTGGGGAATTCGGCTGTGGGGAAAACGTCCTTTTTAAAGCAATTCTGCGAAGACCAGTTTTTTCCAGGCACGGCTGCTACCGTCGGTAAGTAAAAGAGAACAGACACTGATACGATAGCCAGCCAGGCCATTCATACCTGTGCAGGTACCTGGAATTTGGTAACTGTCAACATCCCGAGATCAATTTTATGAATGCCTTTTTGCTTTTTTAAAAACTCGAAAATAGAAAAAACAACAGTACAGGTAAGTCCTCAACTGAGGACCAAAATTTCCAGTGTTAAGTAAGAAAAAAAGTGATTTTTTTGAACATTAGTGGAGAAATGTAGCAGAATCCTGGAAGCCTGTCAACACAATTGTGCTGTTTAACTCATGCCTAGGATAATTAACTTATTCCTAGGGGATTCCTAGGTGGCTCAGTGGCTAAGACGTCGAGCTTGTCGATCAGAAAGGTTGGCATTTTGGCGGTTCGAATCCCAAGTGCCGCATAACGGAGTGAGCCCCCCATTACGTGTCCCAGCTTCTGCCAACCTAGCAGTTCGAAAGCATATAAAAATGCAAATAGAAAAATAGGAACCACCTTTGGTGGGAAGGTAACAGCGTTCCGTGCGCCTTTGGCATTGAGTCATGCCAGCCACATGACTACGGTGACGTCTTTGGACAGTGCTGGCTCTTCGGCTTTGAAACAGAGATGAGCATTGCCCCCTAGAGTCAGGAACAACCAGCACATATGTGCGAGGGGAACCTTTAGGGTAATTAAGGCAGAGTT